TTATTCTGAGGTTCAGCGGCACCAGCCTCGTCGGTTTCACGGGTGATGGAGGACGCCATCGGCTGTGACTCACATTGAAGCATGTCCCGAGTGCGTTGCTTATACAATGCGAGACACATTCAAGTTCACTCGTTAGTCCGTTTTCAACATGTTCTGATTTGCAGCCCCCTCGTTCCTGGGGCCTACAACGTGGACCAAAATCTGCCTAACACTGGGTCCGATGCACATCATGGCTTAACAGACACAATGGCTCGGAAGTTCCGCTTCTCCAGGCGACAGGCTTACATCACAGGAGCATTAAGAGGCCGTCGTTTGGTTGAATAGCTGTTGGGTCTCACGGCATCCTCATTGAATTCACGCTCCGCGTATCCCTACGAGCCCGTTCAGAACCGTTGACTACCGTTGCCTATGAAAGCTGATGGGAAAAGGGAAGCAAACACACACACACACATAGTGAAACAAAGCGGGCAGCTGGTATAAAACCCAGAGGCCCGCGTGGTGCCGAGGTGAGAAGGAGGAGGAGGGGGAGGGGGAGGGGGAGGAAGAGGAGGAGGAGGAGCAGGAGGAGGAGGAGGAGGAAGAGGAGGAGAAGAAGGCTCTCGTGGGACGCTCTTGGGGCGGTCTTGGTGCAGCCTAGGGGCCCTCTTGGGGCCCTCTTTGGGAGCCTTGGAGGATCTCTTGGGGCCATCATGTAGGGCGTCGATCAAAAGATGGGGGTTCCCGGTTTGCCTTCCCCCCTGGGGTCCCCGATTTGCCAGCCCTCTTGGGGCGCTCTTGGGCCGCTCTTGAGCGCCATTCAGGGCGCTCTTAGGCGCTGTTGGGGGCCTCTTCGGGCCCTATCAGGAGCCCTGGAGGGCATTTTGGGCCATCTTGTAGGGCGTCGACCAAGGGAGGAGGTGCCCCCGATTCGTCTCCACCTCCTGGCGTCCTCGATTTGCCTCTTGGGGCCCTCTTGGTGCTCTCTCGGGGCGCCCTTCGTGCCGTCCGGGGGGGTCATCTTGGGCCCCTCTTGGGGCTCTCTTGGGCAATCGCTGGGCCATCCCAAGGCCTCGGAAACACATCGCAAGCGAAAAGGCGAGAAGGCAAACATCATTGATTGGTCTCAGGTGTTCAAAGGTATGTTGGCCTCTGGTAGGGGGGGCCTTCGGGGGCTCCGAGAGCACTTGGAGGTATGTCAGAAGCTATATTGAGTCATTTTCGGCCATTTTGACCCGCCTTCGAGGCCATTTGGGAGCATTGGAGGCCTTCTTGGAGCCATCTTGGGCCATCTTCGGCGCTCTAACTCTTTTAGCGAACGACCAACAAAAACATCAGGGAGGGGAGGGGGAGGGTACCCCTCCCCGAAGGGGAGAGGGCTTGGGAAGAGGAAGTATTGAATTCGTTAGACTACCTTCGCCCCAAGGGCTGGTGTGACCTCCTGCGGGCGGGCTTGCCAGGTGGCACATGCAACGCAACCTACCACTACTATTGCATCGGCGAAGTCAGAGTACCTCGAGGCGACCGGTCGCGTCCGCCGCCCTGGTTTTGCGAAACAAGCGGGGGGCATCCGAGCCTGATGTTGGGTGGCAGCCCGCGCAGTCTCGATCAGTGATCGTAACAGATGGACAGCAGCAGCGTGAGCTGCCTCCCACGGTTCCGCGAGGCAGAGACAGTCGCTGTGAGGTGCCACGAGGTTTGTGAGGCTCAGAAGCACGGGGAATGCGTCTGGAATTCTTCGCGGGGTGGTCTGGGGAGGCTGCGTTGCGGCGGCCAGGTCAGACAACCGCATGCAAATGCTGCGTTGGACGACGAGGTGAGATGAGGGGAATGCCTCTCATTATTCATTTCATCGCTTCGCTGGCCCATTGCGCATCACTGTGGCTGCGTGGTTGTGTGCGCGTTCCCAGGGGGTACGGTAGGGCAGGCAGGACGGTCTTCGAGGAGATCTTTAGCGATGTGGCTCGCACCCTGTCGAAGAGAGCCGATAGACTGCCCCAGCCGGCGCCAAGATGGCTCAAGAGAGTTCCAGCAGAGTTTCGAGACGTACTTGGATTGTGGGTCAAAGTCCTCATGGATGCTTCTTGGGGTCTCTTTGGAGGGATCTCGGGAGCCTCTGGGGAGCAGTTTTGAGGCCTCTCGGAAGCCTCTTGGGGGCTTCTTGGGGGCCTCTTGGGGCTTCGTGGGGCCTGTTGGGAGTAGTGGGAGCCTCTTTTGATGCCTCTTGGGAGCCATCTTGGGCCACTTGGGCGCCCTCTTGGAGGCTTTTTGGGTCGTCTTGGAGAGATCTTGGGGTCTCCTGGGTCGTCCAGGGAAGTCGGCAGCCCAAACAAAGAGAGTACCGCCGAAATCGTTTGAAAACTCTAGCAACATCCCCCTCGAAGTCCTCTTGGAATCCTCCTGGAGCCTGCTGGGCGCTTCTTGGGCCGTCTTGGGACCAACGTGGGCCATCTTGGAACGCTCTTGGCCTGAGGCCGAGGGCCGTGCCTCCCGTTTGGCGCCTCACTTGGGCGCTCGGGAGGACCCCGAGGCCTCGCCTAGGAGTGAAGCATCACTGAGGATGTAGAGCCATTCAGGCTACTAGGGCAGTTATGAAGGCTTCGCGTATCCCGCCAGCCCATGCAAAGGCAATCGCCAGACGGGGGCGAGGACAACGAGGGCGAGGATGAGGAGGACAAGCAAAGACGAGGACGTTGACGAGGGTGACGAGCCGAATCTGACGCCGATGAGGACGAGGATTCTTGGAGACATGTGTGGGTTCTCTTGGTGCCCTCTTGGGGGCAACGAGTAGGAGGAGGAGGAGGAGGAGGAGGTGGAGGAGGATGAGGAGGAGGAAGAAGAGGAGGAGGAGGAGGAGAAGGAGAGAAGGCGGATACGGACGAGGCGGACGACGAGGGCAGGAACGAGGAGGAGGACAATGAGGAAGGTAAGGAGGATGACGACGACGAGGAGGTGGAGAAGGAGGAGGAGCAGGAGGACGAAGATGCAGACGAAAACAAGGACGATGATGACGAGGAACACGGAAACGACGAGGAGGATGAGGAGTAGGATGTGAAGGAGGAGGAGTCGGGGGAGGACGGAGGGAGGTGGGCGGAGAAGGATGATGACAACCCTTGGAGCTGTCTCGGAGTGTTCTTGGAATCGTCTCGGGTTTTGGGTCTTCTTGAGGTTCTACATGGGCCCCCTTGGCACGTTTTTGGAAGGTCTAGGGGTTATCATGGGGCTCTTTTGATTTGTCTTGGGGCCCTCTTGAGCCCCTCTGGGGGCCCTCTTGGGGACTTCTTGGGAACACTGGAGAGCGCCTTGGGGCCATCCTGATGGGCGCCAATCAAAACAGGGGCCGGGTCCCCCTCCCCAAGAACCTGCAAAAACAGATGTTGGAGCAGTCTTGAGGGCCTCGTGGGTCCCTCGTGGGTCTCTCTAGGACCATCGTGGGGCCACCTTGAAGCCTTAACAGCACATCGCACGCGAAAAGGCGAGAATGCAAACCATAATGATTTGCGTCAGGTACCTGATTGGTTTGGACATCGTGGGGGGTTGCTGGAGGCTCCGAGAGCACCCAAAAGCATCTTGTGGCTCACTTGGCGCCTCTTAGAATCATGACGGAGGCAGGCCTGCTTGAACCATCTGGAGCTATCTTGAGGCCATCTTGGACCAACGGAGACCCTCTTGGAGCTATCTTGGGCGAAACATGACCCCCTGCAAATCGCGGCTGGGGGGGCACAAGCAACCTCAGGAAGGGGAGGGGGAGGCTACCCCTTCCCATAGGGAAGAGCGTTTGGGATGAGAGAACCATATCGTTAGACCGCCTGCGCCCAGAGGGCCGGCCGGATTCAGAATCGTCAGACTGCGTTTTTGCTGTCTGATACGTAGGACGCTGCGGTGGGTTCGCTTCTTTCCGTATCTTGTTGGCACATGTCTGTGGATATTGTTGACGTCGTCGGCCCACGGTTTGGGGAAAAGGCCGTCGGCGGCCCTGAGCTCCGGGGCACCCCCGTGAGAGAGGCAGCGGGAGCTGTGTTGTCGCTCTGACCCCGTTCGCCGCGCGTCTCCCGCCCCCCGTCTTCGAGACAAGCCCCGAGAGGGCCAACCAAAGCGTGCATCGCTCTGGTCCCCTGACCATGTGCCCCCATCGTAGACTTCGAGCAGGTTGGCGATGACCCTGGACCGCCTTGCACCCGTCTTGCGCCCCTGGACCGCCTTGCACCCGTCTTGCACCCGTCTTGCACAACCTTCTGCACGCTCTGCGGGCGGCGACATCGCACCAGCAGAAGTACTGGGGCTGGCCTTCGGTACGTCCCGCCACCGTGCCTGGGTCGTGGGTGCAGGGCGCGGCGGCAACGTGGGCGGGAGGACGGGCTCCCCCGTGGCTGCATCCTCCGACGCAGTCGAGGCACGTCTTCGCACAAATTTGGAGGGTCTTGGAACAAGCAGACGCTCAGTACCGACGGCGATCGTGCACGACGGGTGGAGTTGCACGACGTGTGGAGTCTCTGGCCATGGGAAGCAGACGCCCTGCAGAGTCTGTCATGGCTCGCCACGGCTCCTCCGAGCTCCGCCGCTGGCTGCGGCCCTCTTCGGGCGATGGAGAAATCGGCGGCGAGCCAGGGGGGGTAGTGAGAAGGAGTACGTAGGCCTTCTCATAAGGCGGCGGGGCTTCTCAGAAGCCACTCGGCCTTCTGAGAATTGTCTGCGTGTTCGGGGAAGGCTTAGCAAACCTTTCAGAAGGCCAGGGGGCTTCCAAGCCTTCTGATAAGGCCCGCCCCCTCTTATTTCCCCCTGGCGCGCCGCCGACTGTAGGCGATGAAGAAGGTCTCCGAACTCATAAGTCTAGAAGGCGGCTCCCGAAAAAGGTTGGCGGGCTTAGCACAGCTGGTGATCAAACGTGGCATCGTCCAGTTCTTTGCTGCTGCTGGTTGTCATGTATCTCCGTGCCATCACACCTTCGTCATGGGCCCCATCTCTTGCACTCTTCGTCTGTCTGTCGGATATGTGACGCTCCCATGCCCCGCTCCCCCCCCCAGGCAAGTGGTTCTGCCCGCCCTGCGTGGCGGCCGCGGCGCTGGACAGCTGCGACGCCGCTCCAGCGCCGCAGGGCTCGCCCTCGCCGCCGCGGGCCGCAGCGCCTGCCGGTGTGGAGCTGCAGGCCGTGCTGCCACCAGTCGTGCCACCAACGGCCGCTGCACTGCAGATCGCGTCGCCGCTGGCCACCTCGCCGCCGGTCGTGCCGCCACCGGCTCTACTGTTGGCGGCCGCTCCACCACCTCTGCCCGCGGCAGCCGTGGCAAAGCCAGAGGTAGCCCCGGCGGCCCCGGCGCCGGATCGCTTGGCCTCGCCGACCTCTTCGCGCGAGGGGCGCGCGTGCGTGGCGGCCGCCAGGGACCGGGCTGGCAGCTTGCGCGGCAGAGCCCGCGGGGCCTCGGCGCAGAAGGAGGCGCAGCCCCCCGCGCCGAGGCCGCGGGCCCGCACCGCGGCCCAGAAGGCCCTGGCGGTCGGCAGCGCCAGCCCCGTGTGCCCTCTGCGCCGCTCCAGGCCGGCGCCACTGCCGCCGCCGCCGCCGCCGTCGTCGCCATGGATGGTCGTCGTCGTCGTCGTGGTCGCCGCAGCCTCCGTCGCCGTGGTCGTCGTCGCCGATGCCGATCCCGCCGTGGCTTCAGGCGCTGTCGTCACTTGGTGGTCGCTGCCGCCGTGGGCCATCTTTGTGGTGCTAGTCGTCATTGCTGTCGTGGCCGTCGTCTCGGTCTGCGCCCGCGTCGTGCTTGGCGTCGCCGTGGTCTTCGTCGACATTGTGGTCGTCATCATCGTCTTGGTCTTCGTCGTCCTCATGCTCGGCGTCACCGCGCGGACCACCTGTAAGAGACTTAAAGTATAAGCAGGTTTGTGGCATGCTCAGGCTCATGTCCAGCATAAGTTCGCATGATCCGCGCGCGCTCGCGCTAGCGGAGCTACGGCATGAGCCCCCGCAAGCTGCCTCCTGTGTCCCAGACGGGATCGAGGATGAAGCTGGCCCGGCGATCAGGGGACTGGCCCTGCGAAGCAAGTACAACGTCCAGGACTGGAAGTAGCAACGAGTTCCCAGCCTGGCGATTAGGGGGCTTGCCCTGCGAAGCAAGTACAACATCCAGGGCTGGGAGCAGCCACGGATTCACGCGGCAGCTGCTCTGCGGCCCTGCTGCCACAGGGCAGGCAGCCGTCCGCTGTACCGCAGCGGCGAGGGGACAGGAAGGCAAGCGTCGAGCTGCAAACATGTTGTATAGAGCTCCATGGCACGAGATCATATTCACACTCGCAATATGAGTATTCAGTATAGCTAGAGCTCGAGGTTTAGTAGCTACAGTATGGCCCTGAAGATTGCAGCGCTATGGCGGACTCGGCGAGGAGCAGAAGGAAATAAGAAAACGGCGTCTGGATGCCTCTAGGGGTCAGAGGGCTCCGGAAGCCCTGACAATGCTTTTTAGATGTTCGCAAACCAAGGGTCTACGAGTCTGAACGAGCAGGAGGAGGAGGAGGAGGACGAGGAGGAGGAGGAGGAGGAGGCAAAATAGGAAGAGGCAGCGGAGGAGGAGGAGGAGGAGGAGGAGGAGGAGGAGGAGGAGGAGGAGGAGGAATAGGAAGGAGGAGGCAGAGGAAGAGGGGTGGAGGGGAGGAGGAGCTCCCAGGAGGAGAAGGAGGACTTCCCAGGAGGAGGCTGCTCCGGAAAAGGCGCGCGCGCACGGGCAGGCCACTCGCCCTGGTCGGGGTCTGGCGCGGCCCAGCGAGCAGGGCGCACGCGGGCGTCAGGCTGCAGTTCGTCGACGACGACCCTGTCGACCCGGTCTGGCCAGGTGCGCGCGGGCGAGGAAGGCGGGGGAGGACGAGTGGTGAATGCTCCTCTCCTCCTCCTGCCTCCCTCATCCACCCTTCCTCCTCTTTCTACTTTGCCGCCCCCTCCACGCCTCTCCTCTCCTGCTCGTGCTCCTCCTCCTCCTCCTCATGAGGGTCGCCATCGTCCAGCTCGAACACCCCGACACGACAGAGAGGCCTCGGAGTTCCCGATTGAAAACACACTCGCAGGTTGAGGAGAAGGAGGAAGAGGAGGAGGAGGAAGAGGAATAGGAGGAGGAGGAGGAAGAGGAGGAGGAGGAGGAGGAGGGGGAGGAAGGGAAGGACGCATCTGATACCTGACATGTGGTTCTGACCCCAAGCCCAAACCCATCTGGGTTAGGGGCGCTGGGGCACAGCGGATATAAGCCCGTGGTTTCTTGCAGCGTGCCGCTTTCAAGAGTGCCCTATATGAGCGCTAACGGACGAATGGTAATACGACGCGCGTGACCCGAATAACGCAGTGCACAGGTTTAGTCTTTTGCTAATATTGATATTTGGTTGCCGCCAGGGCTGGGAGGTAACAGTGCGGTTGATGAACAAGAACAGGACAGAGGTGCACGCAAAGCACTAAAGACGGATTGGAGTTTCTACGGGCGCAAGGGGGAAAGGCATAATCACAACTCTTGTTGCCTTTGCACATTCGTACGATGACTGGGTCAATGCATTACATGTTGTGTTACGAATCCAAAGCACAACACTGATGCAGTAAAGGTTACGGAGAGCAGTTCGGATGATCACACGAGAACTGACTCGGAAGCTGCGCACTCGATAGTGCATGTATCGCATGATGCGTCGCACGGGAAGGTGGTAGGCCGAAGGTGGTAGACCGAGTATCCAAGGAGGGCCTCACGGCGGCGGAAAGCCGACAATACCTGCGTGTCGAATGAATCGCATGATGCGTCGCACGGGAAGGTGGTAGGCCGAAGGTGGTAGACCGAGTATCCAAAGAGGGCCTCACGGCGGCGGAAAGCCGACAATAGCTACGTGTCGAGATGGTTGCCGCGAGAAAGATGCTGCAAGAGCGCTGGGCAGTTGGAGTGGCATCGACGGTTTCAAGCACATCGGCAACACATACAACACATGCGATGCATTGCTGGAGTAGGTTTCTCTCGAGGAGACCGGTCCCGCAGCATATTACCCCTTTGCACAGAGAGTGGTAGAAGGCAGCACGATGAATTTCGGCATCTTGGTTCGCGCCTACAAGCACCGAGGATTTCCAAAAGGTCATGGGAGCAGCCGGAAGAACAATCCGATTGCCACACATGTGTTTCGGTTGACGTGTTAGTGTTCGCCCAAGTCGAAGAGGCAGACAGACTAAACCTGCATTGGCATGTCCGTCTTTTCAATGGTTGTGGAGCGGGGTGCCCGCTCTCAAGGTGAAGACACACATCCGGGCGCCTCTCGTCATAATTGACGAGGCAAATTCATTGTCATGCTGCACAGCAAATCGTGGAGGTGAGAAGAGGGGAACTCGATGATATAAAGTGCAGACCTACTGACCCACTTCCGAGACAAATCTGCAGAAGGAAACAATGCTTTTCTACGCGGAGGAAAAATAGCATAATCTCATCTGGCACACGGCATGAGTCTGATCCAACGCGTATTTGGCGCGGCGGCGGTAGCGAGCCGAGGGAGCATAGCTCGGCTCGTACTCGGCGCGTCGTGCAAGGCGGCTCGTCGCTTGTCCCTTGACCCTTCGTGGCGGGCGGGCATGCTGGGTCCGATGAATTGGTGCCCCTCTCTCATCCCCCCCCTCCCCCCCCCCCCTCCCCCCCCCCCCCCCCACACCACACACACACACTCACACACACAACACATTCACACCCACACACACACAAACACACACACACACAGACACACATTCACACAGACACACATTCACACATTCACGCATTCACACATTCACACATTCACACATTCACACATTCACACATTCACACATTCACACACACATTCACACACACATTCACACACACACACATTCACACACACACACATTCACACACACACAGCATCGCGCTGTTGTCTCAGGCAGCCTCGCGCTGCGACCCCCTCCTCGCGAGGGCCCGTTCGCCGGCCTCTCCCAGCGACCAGCGGTGCCCCGCCCCTGCACCAAGGCTCCAAGAGAGCGCGGAGAGCTCCCTGCAGGGCCCCCCTCGCTCGCTCGTGGAAGTGGGGGTCGGGTGGAGGTGGGTGGAATGGGCCAGAAAGACGCCCGAGGCACCCCAAGGAAGAGCGTTGCCTCGTCGTGCTTCCATACCTCCGCAGGGGCAGTTGTGTTCGATGGCAAGCCGTATCGCGGCTTGCTGTTCTGAGCCCGTCCGCATCGCGCTTAACCTTAAGCTTGACCTCCGCGCCTCCTCCTCCTCCTCCTCCTCCTCCTCCTCCTCCTCCTCCTCCTCCCCCTCCCCTGGAGGCGGGGCGCAGTCCCTGCGCACTGTAGATGGATGCTGGTGCATTCCGCCAACACTCTGCGCTGGCACCTCAGGGACGGCCGTTGCACGCAGCAGGCGACAGCTCTCCTTTGCCGGTCCCCCCCGCCCCCTCCTCCTCCTGCTCGTCTGCTTCCTCCTCCTCCTCCTTTTTTCTTTGGTTCAACTCCCTCTCCCGCTGGAGTGCTGACCGCAGAATTGGTATAGAAAAGCGATTGAGAACTGCTTGGGGGGGACAGGGCGGGGGCGTCACGCAGCAGCGCCCTGGGCGATGCTCAATCAATAATGCTCCGGGCCCGCTCGTGGGTGACGTCGTCATCATCGAGATCTCGATTCGCGAGGTGCACGTCTGGAGCACGCAAATACTGGGCGTTGGGTGGTTTGCCAGGCTCATCTGCCGAGAAGTTCAGCCGTGTCGTTTTGCCCGCCCTTGGCGCTGCAAGCGCCACTGGGGATGGATGCGCCCGGCCACCCCCACCCCCTGTTACAGCGCCGGGAGGCCGAGCGTGCGAATGTCCATGAGGGCGATGAGCATCTACCGCGTGTCAGCACAAGGCAACGCCAAGTTCAAATTTCGACTAGCATGGCAACAATGCGCCATTCGTATGCACTTCCGCGGGTGTCTTGGTGGCTTCTTTGGGCCGTTTGCGGGCTTCTTTGGGGTATCTTGGAGGTTTCTTGGGGACCCGTGGAAGCTGCCTTGGGGCCCCTTTGGGGCCGCTTGGGGCCTCTTGGGGGCCTCTTGGGCAATTTTGGGGCGCTCTTGCGCCGTCTGGCCCCTTCGGAGGCCGTCTTGGGGGCCTCTCGTGGCCGCCTTGCGGCTCGCTTGGGGTCCTCTTGGAACGTCTTGGGATCCTCGTGGGCCTTCTTGGGGCCTCTGTAGGCCATTTTGGAGCCCGCTTCGGCGTTTTGGGGCCCTCCTGGGGGCCTCTGGGGCCGTTTCGGGGCCTTCTTGGATGGTGCTTGGGCTGTCATTGGCCCCAGAGAATCGAATAGACGAGAACGCTAACATAACGCAAAACCCGTCGGCAAATCAATGTGTGCGGCCTCTGGAGATGCTCTTATGGGCCTCCTTGTGGCTCTCCAGGGCAGTCTTGGGAGCCTGTTGGGCCCTCTTTGGGCCATCTTCGGGGCGGCTTAGGGCCACCTTGGGCCGTTTTGAAGCCATCGCGAGCCGTCTTGAGGCCCTCTTGGGCCCCCACGAGGCCAACGAAGCCGAGTCAATAGATGTCCGATGGTTTTTGTAGAAAATTCGTTGAGGCCCAGAAAGGGGGCCAGCATCTTTGGTATGGTGGATGTGGCGTAGCCTGGGGGGGGAAGGGGGGGGCGACATACAAATGCACAACAGCACCACTTGTAGAAAGTGTGCACTCATTGGATACATGGGATACGCGTGCATTAAGGCGTTCGCCGAAAAATGCTGCCGCTCAGCGCGTCACCTCCGGACGTGGGCTCTGAAGACATACGCCACATCCGCCGACCCGTTGTTATTTTTCTGGGGTCTGTCTCCGGGGGCTTTCGAAGCCATTGAGGACCTCAACTGTGCTCCCAAATGTCCTGAGGTGAGGTGGTCAGGCTATTTTCGCTTGATGCATCCTCGCGACTCTGATCTCGGAGATGGCCTGGCCCAGGGTGAACAGGCCACTTCCGCCTGAGACATCCCCGCAATTCTGAGTTTGGAGATGCCCTGCGCTCCTGTGGGTAGGCTCTCTCGGATACGACGCATCTGAAGAAGGAGCAAATTGAATTTCATCGAATCGGCGAAGCAAGCGCGCGTGGTGTGCGCAGATCCCAAAAACATCGGGCTCACCGCTCGCAATTGGCAAGCGTATCAGTGCACCGGGACGTGCCAAACCAAATCCTCGAAGATTGTGTTTTCCATGAGGGGGACCACGTCGCGCGCTGAACGAACCTGAAATCGAACGCGCAATGGCGCTGCACGTACCCAATCCCGTACAAGTGGGAGCAAGAGGGGGAGAGACGGAGGAGGGAGGACGACGACGATGAGAAGGAGGACGATGGAAAAGAAGAGGAGGAGGCGGAGGAGGGTAAAGGAGAGATAGCGGCGACGTGCAAGCCCGGCCGGCTCGTGGGCGACGTCGATATTATTGAAATTATGTGATCGTCCTCTCCAGAGTGTTGCCCAGCGTCAGAAAACTACTGTTTCCGACGCCCCGCCCTTGTCTTTTTTTGAGCGTCATTGTACGCAATCGCCTTGCATTCGCGCCAGGTTCGGGGGTCAAGGTTTCTTGAGAGAGAACAACCCACCCCAACACCCAAGGATGATTCTACACTGTTTCCAGAATGCTTGTGGACTCAGTCGACAGGCCCACACGACGACGATTACGAATCGCGACGGTACCAGATTTTCGAGTCGTAACATAAACTTCGTTTCGCTTTTCTAAAACAGTTTTTGTGTGTTTTGTAAGCGCGTTCTTGGAGTTAATGTAATGCGCCGTTGCAGGTGCGCGATGGCGCGATGTGAGCAATGCCCCAGGTAATTTCGCGCGCGGCAGTCTGTGATTGAAAAGTTGCGGGTGTTGCATTATTAACCACGTTTGGTCTTATTGAAATATTTGTTTCCCGGCCCTCGGCGGCTGCATTTTCTCAGGTTGCCTGGGTCCTCGTTTGGGGCGCATGCAGCTCACGACGGTCGTCGAACCGCAGGCTCCAGAGCGAGGCTTCGAACACAGAGATGTGATGTGGTGGGTGAAGGGGTGGCCTTTGGGCCGCCTTCCGTTTCGCTCGAGCAGTGCTCGCTCGAGCGAGCGTCGCTTGAGCGAGCGTCGCCAGGCTTCTGGCCGCTCTTCGCCCTTTTCGGGCCTGCCGTTCACTGCTCGTCACCACGGCACGGATTCCCGTGGTGAGTCGTGTCGGACCTGTTTTTCCAGCTGGCATAGTTGAAGGAAGGGGTCCTGAATGAAACGCGTCTTAGAGGTTTCTTACCCGGTACTGGCCTTCATAGGGCCTCCCCTTGGGCTTGTGCCGGGACTTCACAGAACGACTCCAGAGGAAAAGCTGGTCCTGTGGGATCGGCGTCGAGTAATCGGGGGGCGATAAGCGGAGGGGTGAGGAAAGGTGTACCTTTCGTGCCCTAGAGGGGGCGTAGAGAGGCCCCACAGAGGCACCCTAGGACCCAGAAGGGGCACGAAAGGTGCACGTTTCTTCCCCAGTCGATTTTCGCCGTAGGACCCGTTTCCCTCAGGGCCCTTTTTTCCCCCTTCTTTCGCTGCATGGGCATTCCAGTTTCCGGGCGGGGCTGGGACAAAAATAACTCCATTCCAGGGCGTTCCCGAACGCTCTCTCAGAGCGTTCGGGAGCGCTCTGAGAATACCGCGACTCCCGGTACATCCTGCAGAGCCGCCAGATCTCAGAGATTCCCGATTCATCTTCGTCCTGGCTACGTCTTCGGGTTTCCTTTCTGGCGGTTCTGGGAGTCCCTGCTGCCTGGGCTTCCAGAGGCCTCAAAAGGCCTCTTCCGCGGAGACTTCCGCGGAGGCCTCAGGGATGAGCTTCGGGGGCGCCCCGAGGAGTCTGGATCGGTAGCGACCATGGCGGACTTCTGCTGTGTGCGCGTCGGCCCCATGGGGCCGACGCACCCACCGCCGGAGCCGTGCAGCATGGGCTCCGCGGTGGGCGCTTTCCGGCCACGCCGCGCCGGCAACAGTGTGCGGTCGCCTGCCTCTCGGCCGACGTGCCTTCAATAGGGGGGCCACATGCGAACCCTCCCCCATACCCCCCATGATTTCTGAGGGGGAGGGTGGGGTTCACTTCGATCGGGAGCTCCCGAACGGAGTGAACCCCACCCTCCTCCTCAGAAATCGTGGGGGGTAGGGGGAGGGGTCGCATGTGGCCCCCCTATTCAAGACCTGGCACGACGGAAACGGATCCAGGAGAGGAATCGAGACCCGAACAGCTCCTCATCCTGAGCCGATCCTTGGCGGGCTTGGGGCCTGGGAAGGGCCTTCGGAGCCCGAGGGTGCGCGAAAGCCTCCAGACCCGCTTTTTCCAGGGCCCATCCAGATCAAATCGATCCGAGTTGATATCGACTATGCCCAGCTCGATCCGATTCGATTCCGGCATTTCGCCGATCGGATGCGGCCCGATTTTGCATGGTTTTGTTGTGCATCCGGGTGAGACTGATCCGATCCGTTTCCGATGTTGTGCTGGTGCGTACGGCTTGATTCGTTGCATATTCCGATCCGATCCGATATTCCGATTCGATGCTGGTTGATGCTGTTGTACCCGAGGTTGTGATCCATCCGCCTCCACCGCACGGGAACCCGATCTTCCTGGACCTCTGGAGGCAAAGTACATTGATATTTCTCGGCACACCTTAGGGCCCAAGTATGCCCATGCCAACCGCCCCCTGGGGTCTCACGGCATCAGTTCCTTATGCGGGGAGTCGAGGCGGTGGGTCTATACAATTTCCCGCCTTGCACTTCATGCCGAGGGATGTTACTTTGCACTTTCGGGGGAGTTGCGCGATGGGACACACAATGCTCCCTGAAGATGCAACGTACCTCGCAACACCGCGTCGCTTGGTCGGCCAGTGAATCAATCAACTCGCCGCAGGAATTCAGTGCATAGATGCTTCAGCATCCCACAGCTCGAGACGCTGGGGGCCTATACACCGAGCCTCTTGGCCGACCAGGCGGCGTGGTGTAAGGTGAAGTCCGCCAATGTGCCGAAGTCGAGGCAACGAGCCAGGATGGAACGAATCATTTCTTGGGGGATCTCGGTGCACACCGAGGCCTCTCCCCCAGAGTGACCTTATTCCCCCCGCCAGCAGGAGGCCCCCGGGCCCGACGTCGGCCCCCCGAGCCGAAACCGATGCCAAGGACCCGGGTTGGAAACATGGTCAGATTACAGAGATCAGGGGCCTCCTGGCCGCAGATAGCCAGCAGTCGCTCGATGAGCGAGCCCGGCAATGAAGAAACGCAGGGCCACAAACAGTACCTCTGACACTGCGGGTCAGACGACCAGCATGCTCGTACCACAATGGCCCAACATGTAAAGATATCGTGACGAGCATCTATCTGCTTGCAGTACACACCACCGTGGCGAGCTGGCTGCTCCATCCGAGTCACTTGATGACTCAGATGGAGAATGCGGAGAAGGAGGTGGCAATGCTGGTGATGCACAAGATTAAGCCACAAGCTGTGAACAGAGCCCATGACACCCAGTATTGAGCACGCCCGAAACCATCAAAAGAACCAGACACCACAGTATCAAAGAAAATGCAATGGGGTTCGCACTGAGGCCCGCAGCAGGACCTCTACTCCCCCCCCCGGCACGAGGCCCCACGGCCCGACAACGGGCCTCCCAGGCCGACATCGAGGCAACGGGCCAGGATTGAACAGACCCTCTCGTCACCGATCTGGGTGCACACCAAGGCCCTTCCAAGAGCAGAACCTGTAAAGCCCCCACCACTTCCTGGCGGGAGCTTCCTGGGCCCTACAGCGGGCCCCCTGGACCGAAATCGAGGCAAAGCGCCGGGATCGAAAACACACATCGTCGGAGATTTGGGTGCACACCGAGGCCCCTCCCACAGCACACCCTCTGAAGCTCTTCCCCTCCCAGTCAGGAGGCCCTGGGGCCCGCCAACGGGCCCCCCAGGCCGAAATCATGCAGGCGGTGACCTGGGCGTCCACCATCGAGAAAAAGTATTGGGTGAATGGTTTGCTTGACGGGTCCCCCATCGAGAAAAAGGCACCCGGATTGCATAGCTCATGTAGCAGGAGATCTAGGTCCACTCCTAACACCTTCGGACGTTGAGATGTGGATTACTTTGGGCTCCAGATGGGGCTCTTGTTTTCCAGGCCGCTCCGTAGGTCCAGGTCGGGGGACCTGTTCGTGGCCGCGGCTCGCCCGGCGGGCAAGAAAGGCACTTCCTTCCGCATGGTGGCACGATGACTGCACACACACACACACACACACACACACACACACACACACACACACACACACACACACACACACACACACACACACACACACACACACACACACACACACACACACACACACACACACACACACACACACACACACACACACACACACACACACACACACACACACACACACACACACACACACACACACACACACACACACACACACACACACACACACACACACGCACCTCAGCCCCTCCCCTAGCATGACACACACACACACACTCACACACTCACATACACACATACACACATACACACATACACACATACACACACATACACACATACACACATACACACATACACACACACTCTCTCACACACACGCGCACCTCAGCCCCTCCCCCAGCATGACCCCTGAGCCCTTATCCAGCGCTCCTTCTGGCGAGGCTCCCACAGCATCGCTCCTCAAGCCACTCCTCCCCCTGGAGCCCTCTTGGGGCTCTTGTGGGAAGTCTTGGGGTCCCCGTGGAGCCCTTGGGGGGCGCCTTGGGGCCCTCTTGGGGCCATCTTGGAGCTCTCCTGGGGCCCTCTCGGGAGCCCTGGAGAGCCTCTTGGGGCCATCTCCCAGGCCATCGATTAAGGGAGGGTAGGTCCCCTAGGCTCCTCCTCCTCCCGGCATGAGGCCCCAGCTCCGCGGCCGCGACGGGCAGCTCGGCGGCCGCGCCTGCGGCGGCCGACAGCGCGGCCGCCCTCGGCGAGCCCGAGGCGGCTGCGGCGCGCCTCTCCGCGGGCCGGGTTGCGGAGAGGACGACGAGGGTCGGCGCTCTCGTGCCAGTCACGGGGGTCCGCGTTGACTGGGGTCAGCCAATGCTTTCTGGCTGACTCGGGTTTGGGAGCCACGTGGCGCCGAGTCCCCTTTTCAGCCCTCCGCGGACCCAGGCCCTCCCTGGGAGCTACTGAGCAGCCAGTCGGGCTTCGCGGCATGACCCTGGCCGACCTGGGCTGTTGGACGACCAGGGACGACATGCGGCAAGGACGAGGACAGCGAGGACGAGGACGGCCAGGACGAGGACGACGAGGACGACGGCCAGGACGACGGCGAGGACGACGAGGACGACGACACCGACACCGCTGCCATTCCTTCGCTTCGGCCGCGTTGGGCCTCCCGTCGGGTCCTCACTCGCGCCTCGAGATTCTAGTCAGACCGCACCCTGGTGAGTGGTCCGGGGAAGGAGCAGCGGCATCAGTCTCTCTCGGGAGCCCTCAAACGGTGCGGTGACCACACCGCGTGGTTCGGCGCCGAGCCCACGGGGGAAGGCAGAGGGGGCTGGCCTCCGCAGAAGGCTCAGAACGCCTCCTGCCTTCTGAGAAGCCTTCCTAGCCCTCTCCGAAGGCGCAGACGGTTTCCTGGAAGGCCTTGAGGGCCTGTGAGTCTGAGGAGCCCCGCCGCCTTCTGAGAAGGCCTGCCCCCTCTCACTGCCCCCACGGGCGCGCCGCCGAGAGGGGAGTCATCGGGGTGGCCGCGCGGTCTTGGGACCTGGGTCGTGCTCCGAGGATGCCTCGGGGGGCCTGGGCCTACGAGGTCCCGGAGCCGCGCGGCTGCGGCGGTGGCGGACTGAGCGGTGAGGTCTCTCGGGTTTCCAGGTCAGCACACGATCCGGCACCGCACTGTGCTGGGACCCCCGAAACAAACGATGTCAACGAGAGGGTTTGCCCAATTCCTGGCCTCCTCGTGCCCAGGAAGTCAGGCCCCTGGGGCCATCAGAGAGTGGTTCGCGGGATGCCGACCGGCCAAAGTCCGATGAGGAGGTTTCGGGGCTCAAGCGACGGTAGCCAATGCAAACGGGAGTCAGTAAGAGCACCGGGTCTTGCAGGATCCTACAGAGCCAGGGGTGCATTGACCCGGGCTAGGGTGCAGGACCTGCAGGATCTTGCATGGTCTGGATTGACCCGGGTCAGGAAAGCCCCGAAGGTTGGTGGGGGACGGGTGGAACCAACGACGGGACAACCATTGAGACAATTGTTTCCACCCATCGAGCAATCCCGATCGGTCTGAGCTATCCCCCGATGCATGGACATGTATGTAGCTATTATGCAATCACATATGTGTCATTTTGTACATGATCATGCATAAATTCAGACAGGCAGCACCATGTTTTGTTGTTCTCTCTCTCTCTCTCTCCCCCCCATCTCTCTATACATTTACACCGATGTCATTCTATATCTGTTATATATATATATATATAGGTGTACCTCTGTTTGTACAGGCCTGGCGATTCACCGATCGATCCAACTACTGATCGATCGATCTCATCATGTGTCGATCGATCCCGCCATTATGAGAGTTGTCGATATTTGCCGATCTTCCTCATTATCGACCTACCAGTGACAGTAATCATCAAGCAACGTACGAATCGGGACAGTCATCAGGACAACCATTGAGGCGACCATCGGGACAACCATCGGGACAACCTCTGGGACAGCCTTCGGGACAACCATCGGGACAGTTTAAGTCGGTCTAACTTTCCATCGGTAGCACTCTCTCTCTCTCTCTCTCCCTCTTCCTCTATTGGAGAACCTGTGGAGCCACCCTTCGGGTGAAACGAAGGTTTGTGGGGGACAGAACCAGCTGCTAACAACTGCGACAGGTGTGGTGATGACGATGCTGGTGTTGCGCCCTCGAGTTGGCGACGACGCGTGATGGCGATGTTGCGCTGCGATGTATTGTCACGGTCGTCCCTGCTTTCGATCTCACTCAATCGATTGGACCATCGACCTCACAGCCAGTCTTAGCCCCAATGAATCGATCTCACACTGAAGGGGGTTCAGCACGATGAGGACACCACCTGCGTCACCCTCGGCACCTTACAGCTTGCACAGAGCATCGAACAACTGGTTGGGTCGGGGTCCGCGAGCCCCGCTCGGGAGCCAGTGGAATACTAGAAACGCTGCGCCAGCCTGCGCGACCCCCATACTCCGCACCGCTGGCAGAGCCTGGCGGCAAACCGCTGGCAGAGCCTGGCGGCGAGAGGGCACTGGCGAAGAGGCGAGGCCACCCGCAGACATGGCGAAGAGGTGGACGAAAGGATCGAGCGTCTGGCTTGCTTGTGCCACACAGCTGCGGTAGCAATGGTCGCACGTGGCCGGAGCGGTTACTTTGCGATCAGTGATGGTTAGAACGATAACCAAGACAACCCACCGAACCGATCTCACAGTCGATGGTGAGGTCGATGTCATGATCGCCCTCACCATCCACCCCACCATCGATTTTACGGGATCGATCCCATCCGATCGATAACACTCGATCTGACGATCGTTCTCACTACAGACATCATTGTAGATCTCTCTCTCCCTCTCGATCCCACTATCGATTTCAATATCGATCTCACGATCGTCTCGTCAATCGGTTTCAGTATCGACCCCACAACCAATGTCAACACCAGCCTCACTGTCAATCTTACTTCTGATTTCAGTCGTCATCATTACCAATCTCACAATCGCCTTCACAATCAAGATCAAGGCGAAACACCCACGGCCACCTCCCGCCCACCGCCGACGGAACACCGACGGCACACCAACGGGACATCACCGGGACACCTCAGGACACCACGGCGAGACGCCCCTGACCATCGCGCGCCCACCGGGGGCGGAGGGGCGGACCATTGCATCCGAATCGGCCTAGCGACGGCGGGGCCATTACTCTCGCGCGCCCACGCAGCTTCGCCTCGCCCGCACGCACGAGACGCACACGAAACCGACACCGATTTCCCAGCGGGGGGCTGTCCGTTCAACTGCGAGCTCACCCCTCAACCTCAGATGTGTATGCAGACATATGTAATACGTACATCTACGACCATTGGGGGATGGGGGGGGAGATTCATAGGCTGGCAAATGCGATGGGCGCGATAATGACGATGCTGGTGACGCGCCCTCGGGTTAGCGACGACGCGAGATGACGAGGTTACGCTGCGATGTACTGTTGCTATCGCCCCCGCTTTCTATTTCACAACTAATCTCACAATCAACATCACTGACGGTCTCACTTTAATCGAACTATCCATCCCATTCTAGCGATATCATCATCGATCTGAGTATTGACTCCATTATCGGTACCAAGGCGGGACACCCCCTGCCACCGCAAGCCCACCGCCGACGGCACACCAACGGGACATCAACAGGACACCACAGGACACCCCTGGGCCAACGCGCGCCCACTGGGGACGGAGGAGCGGTGCACTGCATCCGAATCGCCCCAGTGACGGCGAGGTCATTCCCCTCGCTCGCCCACGCAGCTCCGCCTCTCCCGCTCTCACGACACGAACACGAAACCGGCGGGGGTTTTCTGTCCCATTGTGATCCCACCCCCCAATTTCCGACTTAATGTACATGTACTTATCGACTAGACTAACCGTTTTTATCTCGATCCCACTGTTCCCCAAGCAGCGCTTGCACTTCAGAGCTTTGATTTCTTCTCTGAGGAATGGGGCCTGCCCGCCGGTATGGCGGATATGTGGTCGCTGTTGCCGCCCCGTCGCTGCCTCGCGGCCGCCCGTCTTCGGGGCCTACCCGTCTGTGTGGCGGCTATGTGGTCGCCGTCGCCGCCTCGTCGTTTTGAGCCTGCCAGTCAGCCTGCCGGCTATGTTGTCGCCGTCGCCGCCCCGTCGCCGTTTGGGCTTGCGTTACGTTGCTTTGCGTTGCTTTGCGGCGCATTCCGTTGATTTGCATTGCTCTCATTGCGTTGTTCTGTACCGTTTTACGTGGGTTTGCATTGCTGCGCCTCGCTTTGCTTGCTTTGCTTTGCAAATTGATCGGCTGCCACGGGCCCACTTGGAAAGGCAGCGATTGAGAAGACGCCCGATTGGGAGCCGCCCGCCAACCTTCACATTTTGCTTGCTTTCTCCCCCTCATCGATTCGCCTCCTCTGTCGCCCCACTGTTGGCGCGAATCTCACAGCCACCTGGAGAGCCGCCCGCTCCGGGAACCCCACTGCAAAGTGGGGACTTCGACCTCCCAATGGGGGTCGCGCAGCGGGGGCGATTCGAACAAGTCGAAGGTGCCCTGTGTGGACAAGCTGGATGTAGGGGGTGTTGCCCTGTTCTTTCGGATAGGCACAGCCCCACCCCGTCGCTCGTCCTCCCCCAAATCTCCAATCCTCCTAACGTAACGCGTTTTAATGACATCCGTGTATGTATACATATGTGTGTATGTGTACATACGCATACCATATAAAGACCTATACGACCACCCTTCGGGTGATAAGGAGGTTGTGGGGGGGGAGAGGGGGGGGAACCAACATCTGACTCAATCGATGTCACTATAGATCTAACTCAAAGGGACACCACAGGACACCACCGCACACTTGTCCATCTCACTATCGATCTCACTATCGATCTCACTCAGCGGGACACCACGGGACACCGCGGGACACCTCTCGATCTCACTATCGGTCACACTATCGATCTCACGATCGATCTCATTCAACGGAACACTATAGGACACCACGGGACACATCGGGACACCACATCGATCTCACTATCGATCTCATCATCGATCTCACTCAACGGGACGCCACGGGACACCAAGGGACACCTGTCGATCTCAGTATCGATCTCAGTATCGATCTCACTTTTTAGGACACCACGAGACACATCGGGACACCACATCGATCTCACTATCGATCTCATTATCGTTCTCACTCAACGGGACGCCACGGGGCACCACGGGACACCTGTGTATCTCAGTATCGATCTCACCATCAATCTCAC